GTATTTAATTTGAGTGCAATCAAGTTAGCACTGATTTCTGTACGGCGAGTCCCGTGACGCGACACAAACTTACGCTCAAAACATCGCCCATATTGAACTCATCCTCAAGGGAATTATTGTGACCCCCTGCTGTGGACAGACAGATGGATGGATCTAATGCTTAATGCTTTCAACCTTAGTTGGAAAGCATTAAAAATGGGCGTTTGCCCAGCATGGAAGGGTAGGCTAAATGTCTTTGAAATAGCAAGCCTTCCCCGCTGTTATTTGAACACAATACACACGGCATCCATATTGCTTTGTCCACACGCTGTAGATAAGGTGCTGGCATTTACACAGCCAGGGGTCACGTGACACATCTCTTTCTTTCAGGAATACGTTTTGTTTGGCTTCAAGCCTGCTTTTGGCAGCTGCTGTTTTACAGTCAATGCTTCTTGGAACCTGATCCCATCCGATTTCAGAAGCTCAGGATGATTTTTTCCTCCTGCTCAGTGGCCGGATAAGCGCTCGCTTTGGAAACGTGGAAGTCACTTCAGAGTCATCGGTATTTCCCGCAGAAGCGATGTCGGTGCATGGCGCTGTCAACCCGAGTTCAATTCCTGACCATGGCTAACGTCGCTTCACCGACTTGCACTGGTCAACGTGGTGAGGTCAAACAGCCCCAGTGACTGACACGGCGTGGGGAGACTGAATTAGTATTACCGTTCATCTGTTGCCGATCAGTAGTGCTTGGTAACTCGTACGAACCCTAGCACGGAATTACGATTGGTTCCCTTTAAAAAAAAATGTGTTAATATAGTCATTATAAATTCATCTATAGCCCTTTCCCAATCCACTGCTGGATTAGGGCCTGTTCACACCAAACCATTTATGGGAGTTGTTTTACTGTACTTCAGCCTTCGGTTACAAATTAAGGCATGTAGCGAAGCAAGCAAAATCTACCGTGACGCGGACGATCCGACATGCGCGTGCTGGGAACTTGAGAATCTGGCGCAGTTGATGAGTCTTTCGGCGCATCTGCGGCACGCCAAGCGCGCAGGCCAGTTTGCGCCCGGCTCCATAGGGCTCCGTGCGGCTCCATACGGCTCCATAGGGCTCCGTGCGGCTCCGTGCGGCTCCGTATGGCTCCGTACATTCAGCCGGCCTAGTTTGGCCACGTGTACTTTTCGCCAGTTCCTCCAGTTTTTCCCTCGACATTTAGGATCAACATCACGGGTTTAGAGTGTTTTGGCTGCTATAAATTTCCACGTGATAAGCCGTTTTGTTGGGCTATGATATGTGGCCAGGTCGCTTCTGAAAGAGAGCTATATAGGTCAGTGGGCCTTACCTAATAAAGTAAAGATAGTTTAGTTTTAACGCTTCTCAGCCGCGTTGATTTCTTCTCTCACGTTCGCACCGCGTAACTCCGAGAGAAGAGTCCAGCTCGTCGGAGAAGCCGTCATCGCGACCCCCGCTTGCGTTGCTCGTGGCCGGGTACCCCCCCCCCCCCCCCCCCCCCCCCCCGTGAGAAGCTGGTTTCTGGGCCGTGGCGGAGGGCCCTCAATCGATCCGCGTCCGGGAAATTGGACGCGGAGTGCTCTAAACCTCGTCACGTATCCGGGGGATAAATTAAACTCCGCTATGATGGATGAGAACAAAGCGCTTTGTCGTCGTCCGCACGGCACCCGTGTCGGCGGGGTCAACAGTTCACGGAGGAGCTGATAGTTGGTGCGCCTGTTTAGCCACCTCCCCCACCGCGCCCCACCAACCCCCCCCCCCCAAGAGTCCCCCCAGGTGCTAATTCCCGTGAAATCCCTCGGCCATGGCTGACCGTGCACAATGAGTAACCGGGCCCTGCTCATTACGCCGATGGGCGGAGGAGCGCTTCATTTGCCGCGTCGCGCAGCGCCGCTTGCGGGCCGGGAGCGGTGTCGGTGCGGTGGTGCGGTCGCAGCGAAACCCGGCGACACGGGTTCAAGTCCCGGCCACGGCTGACTCCGGTGGCGGCGTGACGGCCCACCCACTGCTGTGCCTCCCATTCTTTCAAACAACGTCCATGACCCACACGTTATCAACGAAAGGGCTGTAATCAACAATGATCATGATGAACATTTGTAACGGCGCATTTCATCCGTAGGTCCCAATCGGATTGGTATGTATGTTGAACTTCTTTCACGCCGTACATAGCCAGCCGTGCTAACTGCGCACCACCACCACCATATTTCCACCCCTGGTTATTTAATTAATTGTTGCGATTTAGGGTAGCAATTCCATTCTGCTTTTAATACGATGGTGATTATATCGGCCACTAGCAGCTGCAGCATACAGTCCTGTGTACGAAGTTAAAGACATTTATTCTCTCACATTCCATTGAACGCTTGTACGTTAATCGGCGCATCGACTAATTGTTACACTCCCAGTGTCTAATACAGACAAGTACACAATTAGCATATTAAGAGGCATGTAAAGATGTCAGGGTTCATCAATCAATCGATTCCTAAGCCCACGATACATTCATCAGGTTGTCTCTGTGAAATTGATTATCTATAATGTATGCAAATCGCATGCTAATTGTATGATAATATTGCCATTTGGGAAAATTCTGCCAACAGAATTTGCAAAAAATGAGACAAAAAAAACGACAAACAATACAAACGAGGTGGCGGCGACAACGAGACAAAATACATAACTATGTTCGCGTAATAATCGATTTGTGTTCTTTTGTCATTTTTACTTTTTATATGTGCCATGTCTTACATTTTGTGCAACATTAGCTGTGTCTATATACTGTATATATGTAAACCAAATTAATCTTTTTAACAGGGGGTTGATAAAATGTTGACAGTTCTGCTGAAATTCAACTATGATTGCCCTCTGGCTTGGATGTGGACGCCATATAAATCCAAATTGCATCGAATTGTACCGCGTACGTGTACGCGTATTTTCACCTCGCGAAAAACAACAGTCGCTGCACAAATAGGCGCTCGCTAATAGAGCATTCAGAATCTTGATTTTACCCTGGAGGAATCTGATGAGCTACGAAGCTCTTTTACACAGATGTCCAGTAGTGAACACCCAGGCACTCCACCTCCCCTGAGGAGAGAGGGAGTGGAGGAGGAGGGGGGGACGATTATTTTCTGGAGCTCAGCCCAGAACAGCTTTAGCTGAAACTAAACCCTGTGATTTCCGTTTGTGTGCCGATCTAAGGAGTGGGGGGGGGGGCGTGGTGTGTGGGAGTTGGGGTAACATTTCAATTGTAAAACCATTTATTCCAATTTTTTTTATTCCATCCGAGGGTTGCTCTTCGCAGGGAATGTCACCGAGCGGGAAATGTCACCGCAGGCGACGACGGGGAAAACCGCGCCACCACGGCCGTGCAGCCGCTCTTTGTGTTTGTTGTCCTCCCGCACCTCCGATTAGCACGGTCGGCTACATCTGGTGCGAAAGAAGTTTAATGTTCGTAAGATATTAGTTTTTTTCTTGGGGGGGGGGGGGGTTTAGATCGCGTAAATATAAATGTGTCGTTAAACCCGCCACCACCCGATGCAGCCAATTAGTAAGGTTTGTCTTGTAAACAAGTTCAATGTACGCACGAGGATCACAGATGCCGCTTCGGCCGAAGTTAATCACTCCCTTGAAGGGTTTCAACTCGTGCTGTCGACAATTATTCGCGATTATAAGAGCTCATGATCCCGATTGAAATACCCGCCACTCGCTGATCTTCCGTGCTCGATATTGCAAAAAATATTGCAATAATAGCAGCTCGCACTTTGAGCCAATTCCATTATACGCACAATTTTATTATGCAGAGGCCCAGGACCTCTCTCATTAATCTGGAAGGCAAGTCAGCGAGCACCGAGTAGTAAGTTGCAGCGTCCATCAACGCACCCAACCCACGCATTTCTCCCAATTGATGACGTTGGGGAAACGCTTATATTGCTCCCACGTCTGTGCCCTCTGCCTTCTCCAACTCGCGCTGAGCGGCGTGGTGAAGTATGGCCAAATAAGTTATCCACGACATGTACGGCGTGGGGAGGCCCTCATCCAGCAGTGGATCGGCATACACAAAGCTGAGCCTGCTCGTACAGTTGCTCAGAAGGGCTTTGTAGCGGCTGAACTAAAAATTGAGAATAATATTTACTGCAGAGCATCGCTGCTTATGCAAACCTGTCAACCCCTTATCAGTGCCTACCTTATTTCAGACCAATCCAGACCGTATTGGTCACCCCGTGCCCTGATACATCTCAACGCATCCTACAAAGTCCCATCATCACAAGGGAGAACCACAAACACATTGACAAAAATTATGTTACTACCGTAATCAAAAACTGTTTCACGTATTTTGATAATTGATGTCAATGATGCTACTTATCATGCTGCTGTCTGTGATCTTGCATGCAGTTTGCTTGATATGTGGATGCACAATAAATACAGAACATGATGAAGGGTTAAACAATACACTTTTTTCGATGATTTTTTTTGCCCGTATTGAAACGGGTGTACGGCGTATGGACCTGAAAACTCAATTTCCCTGTACAAGAATACGGGAAACCAGTATGGGTTTACATGCCTATGTGTGTTTATATATGTATGTATGTGTAACTTCTTTTGCACAGTATGCAGCCAACCGTGCTAATCGGAGGTATGGGGGAAAGACAACACCTAAATTAAACGTTTTTATTTAATTTTACCAGCTACGGCCCCACTGTCCACAAATGATAACTCAACGAAGTGGCTTATCGCGTGGAAATGTATCACGGCCAAGTACTCTAAACACGTGATTTAGATTCTAAATGTGGAGAGAAAAAACGGAGGACCCTGAGAAAAAATCCACGCGACCACAGGAAGAGAGACACGCAGACTCCAAATATACAGGCATCAGGGTCAGGATCGAACCCACGACCTTCCAGTGTTTCGTGTATTGTGTGCGTGCTGTGCTTGTGCGGCGAGTGTGTGGCTTGTCTCTTTTTCATCTTGTGGTCCCCCCCCCCCCCCTCCGTTGTCATTGTTCTCCTGCCCCGCAGCTCGACAACTCTGACGAACAGGCGGCACAGATCCGCCGGGAGCTGGACGGACGGCTACAGATGGCGGAGCAAATGGCACGGGTAGGGGTCCTCGCTGGGCACGCACGCACGCACGCGCACACACCAGCGTACCCACACTTATGCGCACACGTACAAAGGCAAAGATCCCCACTATAGCCTGAACAAACTGTTGGGGCAAATGCTGTTAGCGAGTAGCACCTATGAAGGCCGGAATACAGCACACGAAGGGGTGGGTGGCCAAACCACGCCCGGTCGCCTTTGTCTCTCCAGTGGTGATGTTTACACCGCACCAGGTCCTCAATTGAGGCTGAGTCCACCTATGGAAGGCCCAGGATTGGTTCAGATAATTGTCACTGGTGTTGGCCGTGAGCGGGAATTGATCTCGGGTCGCCGAGTTTATAGCGCAGTGTGCCAACTGCTACACGACCGCACGCCACGCGTGTATTCGTAGGCACACTTGCACGTATGTATGTACGCATTCACGCGTGCATGTTAACGTACCCCGACTAAGCGGTGGGACTAACCTCCGTGCAGACTCGTGAGCCGCGCAAATCTAATCAGTGGAAATGTGGTTACCATTTCAACTTCGGCTCTTGTCATAGCGCACATTATAAGCGTCACTAAACTAAATCAACGAGAGCGCCAGGTACACAAATACTCGTGTAAATTAAATCAATGACGGCGCACGAACAGGCAACGCCGGTGTTGTGCGGACAATTTTGCGTCTCCTTGACAGACGCACGTTGGCAATTTACAATTTTCTAATGCGTTTGTGCGACGCGATGATGGCGAATCGTGTTATTTTTCGGGGCATTTCGGAATACTTTGTCGGAAATGTAATTAGCAAAGTTAAATTATGACATCTAATTCACGCCGCTCTGTGTCGCTCTGTGTACCTGCAACCAATCACGGCCCTTCGGCTGGGAAATCTCGTTGAGTATAATTTCGCACTTGGATGCTCTCGTCTACACGCAGCTGCTCGTGAAATGGAGCCAACAGTTACAGAGAGCGTAAACTGACAGGAAACATGTTTGAGCAAAATATTTAAAAGCCAACGTGCGTAGCGCAAGTTTCTACCCGTCCCGTTTTGGATACGCCGGTTGATTTTCCACAACGCTGTACCCATTTTATCGAGCCCATAGAGGTTGATAGGCTGATGAAATCTTAATATATAGAGGACTGCAGAGCTTGGGCTCTTTGCCTAGCTGGCTGCCTTCAAGCTCGCCTGTGGTTCCTCAGCGATTGCGAGATCCAAATTTGCATGGACGACGCGATATATAAAAAAACAACGAGCAAAACTAAACGTTTAGTCAAGGCTGCCCTCCGACCAGGATTTTAACTCGCGGCCTTCCCGCTTGTGGCCTGACCGCTCCGCCACAGTGCCACCTGGTTAGACCAGACGTGAAAATCCACACCGATGGTTTTGGCCGCTCTGCACTCTTCTGCACTCTCCCTGTTGGCCCGGAGGCACGGCTAAGAGATTCTATCTCTCCCCACATGGGCTGTGTCAGTGCGCCATTCCCATCTGGTCGACTGTGCATGCCACACAGCCCACGGCTAGCTTTGTAAGCATCGCCCATTATGCACCAATATCACAAGGCTAAATTGATTGGCCTGCCACGCATTAAAAGCGAGATGAGACAGTGACTAATTATAAACAAGCGGAAGGGAGCCTAATTGAGAATTTTCCGAATCCGATTTTTGTTGTTGTTTAAGTCCAACTTGAGCCAGGACACCAGGTGCGCACGGCTCTGTGAATGTGAATTGTGCGGCAACCATTCTTTTTATTACCCTATAAAGAAATACATTCATTATGCCTAGAGTGCAAACACAGCAAGGCTTCCCGTGCGCAAAACGCAATCGCAAGCCCATCCTGTTCCGTCAAACCGCACAAATTATTCCACAGCTTTGGAAGCTCCCACCGCGGTGGAACCGTGAGCACGTCGCATTAGCAATCCCGAGGTCGCCGGTTCGATTTCCCCCGGTGCGAGTTCCTTAAAGCGCCTCTTTCTGCGGCACGAACGGTAAATGGGCAGCACACCACAGGTTGCTCGAGCGGCAGGTCGCGCTCGGTGGGGAACAGCGTGGGTACATCCCGCCACTTCCCAGACGTGTGGCCACGTGGAACAGGAGGCCAGAGTGCTCTGTCGAGGGGCTCGCGAGAGCTCCGCCTGGTGGAGGCCGTCTCGTCAGCACAAACGGCTAATCACAGGGCTGCACCTTTACCTATTTTCTCAGGGAGCTCCGATTTCCTCCCGCGTGTATAAGCACTCATTCATTATCTAAAGACGTATTCATATGTAGAGGATGGCAGCGCTTGAGCAATTGTTGGTGCCAGCTGACCGAATGGGGTGCCCTCCTCCTTGTGCGTTGTTCCCCGTTATTCACCGATGAGTAATTTGCACGTACAACAACGCAATACAAAACTGCTACAGAGCGTTATGATGTTCGACGCATTACAGCGAAAGCTACGTTTTAAATTATCATTTGCATTTTGAGCATCATTTAAGGCTTTATTCTTTAAATAACGGACGATCTTACGTTATTTAACTTTTGTTTACGGATAATATTAGTGACGAATCGTATCTGAATGGTGTCTGGGCCCCCCTCCTTCAACGATAACAACCCACAACGGCCAGAGCGGTGAAGTATGGTTTAAAAAAAGAAAACCTCTCCATGACAGGCGGGTCTTCATCTAGCCGTGACAAAAGCGTGAAATAACGTTGTTGAATTATAATAAGCTTTTAGTGGCAGCAGTAGGATGCTGGTGAATGTAATGGAGAATAAATCTAGGACGGAGTGCAAAGAGCTATAAATGGGAGTCACAGTCAAACAACAACGGGCATGAGAAAGTCATTAATTGACGTGCTCCCCACGCTGCTGCTCTTGACAGCGCTCACGTTGTGCCGCGCAGAGCGACGGCTCCTTGTGAACATGAGCTCTGCAGCGCTGCAACGTTGCAGCGCGGACTTTGGGTTCCCAGGCTTCTCGGTCTCTTTCGAGGCCCCAGGGAGAGCCCCCCCCCCCCAGATTTTGTCGCCCACCGTAAAATCCTCCTACATCCCGTGCCGCTCCCCGTGGCCATGAACAACGGAAGGTTTGGCTTAAAAAAAAAAATAAGAGTGAATAGTTTTGATTTAAAGCTTTCGTGGCTGCAGGGATTCATATTCTTGGTTCTTTCGGTAAAGTCACGTAGAAGGGAAACAATAAAATAATAAAAATATGAAACAATTAAATTCTCACGACGTTTCGACTGCAACACAAGCAATCATCATCAGGTGTGAAAATCACAGCAAGAAATTTGAAAAAAAAGTGACTAACGTTAAAAAAACCGCCACTTTTTTCAAATTTTCTTGCTGTGGTTTTCACACCTGATGATGATTGCTTGTGTTGCAATCGAAACGTCGTGATAATTTTATTGTTTTATATTTTTATTATTTTATTGTTTCCCTTCTATGTGACTTTACCGAAAGAACCAAGAATAAGAGTGAATAGGTTTGCTTTAGTAATAGGTTTTACCCTTTTAACTGGCACAAAAACTGACACATTTATTCAAGGCATCATGTTTGCAATAACCACAACACAAGCAGTCAAAATGCAAACAAAAGAGACAACTCTGATAATAATATTGGCACTGTCCTTGAATTTGATTGGTCCACACCCGAGACGGCTTTTCTTAGAGCCTAGTCTCCACTGGTGTTGGACCAGAAGACGCCAAAAGGCGTACAACTCAAAAACAGCGCACTATCAGAGTATTGAGGGCTCGGGGTGAGCATTTACATTATGAGACCTCCTTTGCCAGTAACAAGATATAGTAATAGGTTTTACCCTTTTAACTTGCACAAAAACTGACACCTTTATCAAGGCATTGTACGCCTTTTGGCATCTTCTGGTCCAACACCAGTGGAGACTAGGCTCTAAGAAAAGCCGTCTCGGGTGTGGACCAATCAAATTCAAGGACAGTGCATATTATTATCAGAGTTGTCTCTTTTGTTTGCATTTTGACTGCTTGTGTTGTGGTTATTGCAAACATGATGCCTTGAATAAAGGTGTCAGTTTTTGTGCCAGTTAAAAGGGTAAAACCTATTACTATATCTTGTTACTGGCAAAGGAGGTCTCATAATAGGTTTGCTTTGTTTGGGACGGTGAGACCCTCGTGGGAAATACTCGACCCGGTTCCCACAGTGACAGAGGAGCCCCTTCTCCCGGAGTTTTGGCAAACGTGTTCGTTCACGACAGAGATTGCTACCTCTTGTTGCGATCTGAATAGAAGGCGACCTTTCATCTACGCGCGAATCGCGTCTCATAGCGCGTCGGTGACGTAGACCTTGGAGCGAGAGAAAAATCATGACTACAAAGTCACTTTCCCTCCCAAAAACTAAAAAAGCGCAGCCGTATGTTACGAAATGTATTGTAACATGAAAAATAATTGTAAGTCACGCATGTGAAGTTAATGCGATCGCTAAACAATTGGGAGATATCTGACGGTGACACAAGTGGAAAGCACGTCAGAGTTATGCTCGCCTCGCGCGACATGGTGACGGAGTAAAGAGGAGGAGGAGAGCCGGGTGGACCGCTAAAGTAGCGAGATTTTAATTAACTGCCACGCCGGGAGATAAAAAAATTGGAAGCTAATTTATTTAGAAATGCTTTTTGTGCTTAGTCTCTTGTCCTTCTCCCGCACCTCCGATTCGCACGGTTGGCTACGTACGGGAGGAAATAAGTTCAAGGTGCACACGTACATCAAACCGGTGACCTCTGGATTGCAAGTCCAGCTGTGATGACCCCACCGCGGCCGCTCTGCGAGAGACCAGACTCGAGCACATTTCTCTCGGACTTGCCAGCTGCTGCGAATGAATCAAACATTCGTGGATTTTAATGTCGTTTTGCAATGCTGCAGTGCCACCACACGTTTGAAGGTGACTACTGCAACTGGGAAGCGCCACAGCGTGCGTGACAGAGATGTCGAGTGCAATTTGAATACTTTTTTTTCATTGCGGTGCCTCGTTACAGGGGTTGTGAGCGCATATAAAATGATACCTCTCAACAACATTGTCGTC